TTTCTGTTATTCGGCAAACCAACAAGTTTTAAGAGCTCTTTCTCTCCTAACCCTACTGTATAGTTAACCCTTCTGTACACTACTCAGAATTCCCTCTTTCTTCATGTAAATTGTTTACCAAAAAGTCTTCAGGCTACGGTCTAGCTGGGTAAAGACCAAACACCTAAGTAAAGACTTCATGATTAACAGAAGGGAAACCACAAGGAGCCAAGAAAAAAATTGAGAGAGCCACAAAAGACTGTAAAACAGGGAGAAACGAAGTGGAGAAATATGGACAATGAAATTAAGAGTCTTAAAGAAAGGACAGGACAGGAATCCAAGGAAAATTAGCAAAGATGCAAATGGGGCTAATGAAATAAAAAGATAATAAGAATGAAAAAGAAGAAAAAAAGAGTAAAACTGAGAGGGAAAAAAAAAAAAAACAGCAGCACCCTCCTTTGTTAAACTAGCATTTTGTCCATCAGGAAGAAAAAAGGTAGAGATGAAGTCCCAAGAAAAGAGTGAACTCAAGCAGCAAGAAACAAAAATTGGAAGAACTGGACCCCCCTATTTATATTAAAAGGCTTTAAACCCAAGGAAGAAGGTAAAAGCATCATATTACTCTTCTAATTAACATGCTTCCAAGTGTCTTTAACCTTTTCCAGATTAGAGGGAAGGGTGCCCTTTGCCAACTCAAGCCTCAATTTTAACACCTTCAACAGATGTGAATGATTTCTGATTTTGTTTCTCCCTTTTTTTCTCTATCGCTGATCCTCCACTTCTGCTATTCCTCATCAATCTACCACCCTCCCCAAGAAATCATCCTGAACAGCAACAAACAAGACTGAAGCTTATCAGATTCACCTTCCCTGAAATGTGTTCCATTAAATCACAAAAAAGCCTCTGTTTCCTACCTTTGATTAGAATGCTGGGGTATATGAGCACAAATTAGATTCCCTGCTTTTAAAAAGCTTAAGGTCAAAATAAACCAACTATCTTATCAGGGTTAGGGTTCTTTTTTAATTTAAAGAAAGTATTTAACCCGTGAAGATTATCTTTCGATACCCTGTGTTGAAAATCCAGCATTTTCTGCACTGATATTAAAGTTGTGTAAAATAAAAGGAATTATATATAATATATATGTAAAGCTATAAAGGAATAATATATTTTGCTTCTCTTCTGTTTCTTAGAGCTGAACATAAGGATAACTATATTGTAGAAACTCCACACAAAGTAAACACTAAATAGAATCTGAGGTTTGTTTAACAACTCACTTTTACCTAAGGTAAGATTTCTTACTGGCATAGTATATATATATACTGGCCATGTTAAGTCCTCATGTCTTTACCCTAATGACAGTGTTCATTCTACTTGAGTAAAGCTTCCTTTAAAGCACCAGCCATTCCACTGAAAATAGAATCATACTAATTGTCTGCTTGTAATAGTATTTTCCAAAAATTACGCATTATGAGAAAAAAATGCATTAAATGATGCCAGTTATACATATGTGATCAAGAAAATGCAAATAAACCCACAAATAATACCAATACACACCCAGAAGAGTGCTAAATTAACGACTGACAAGACAAATGTCGGGAATTATGCACAACTGGAACTCTCAGACATTGCTGATGGGAGTGTAAAATGGTGCAACCACTCTGGAAAAGATGTCAGAAGTTTTTCATACAGCTCAACATAGCCCACTACCCCTGCCCCATGGCCCCAAAATTCTCCAACTTATTAACTCAAGAGAAACAAACATATGTCTACACAAAGATCTATATAGGAAAGTTCACAACTTTGGTTATTATGAATAATAACCAAAAACCAAAATTACCCAAATTGTCTAGCAACAGAAGTATAGAAAACAAATCATGATATATTCATATGCTAGACTACTCAGCAATAAAAAAACCACATTCTTCATATACACAACATGAATGAATCTCACAGGCATTACACTGAACAAAAGAAGCTGGACACAAAAAAAGTGTACATACTGTGTGATTTCCACTCGTAAGACGTTCTAGAACAGGCAAAATTAATGTAGAGTTAAAAAAACTTAAGTTCTAATAGCTTCTGATGGAGCATTATTGATCAGTAAAGGGTGCAAGGAAAATTTCTAGGATATAAGAAATTATTTTAAGAGAGATGTGGGTCACATGACTATGGATTTTGTCAAAATCATCAACTTGTACATTTACAACATACAGATTTCACTGCATGTAAAAGTTATACTAAAAATTACAGTATTAACAATTATAAACAACTATTAAACTCCAATTAGTTGGTCTGCTTATAAGGATGGAAGCAATTTTGAAACTACTTAATGTGTATTCTAGACTCAAAGAATGAGTAAATATATTTTGAATGATAGAAGCTAAGCTTCTCACTGCTAAACAAGATAGTGATAAACATGGAAAGGAAAAGACTGGGACATACCTGGAGTGCTGGATTGAGTTAGAGATATCAATACAAATACATTGTCCTTATTAAAGAGAAATATCTATATGTGTATGTGTATATACTTATACAATGTGTATTCCATCAACTATATTATATGTATTTCATCAGTTATACTACATTGAATATACACGTACATATCCTAATTCTGTCTGCTAGGAGGGTCTATAATCAATGATACACCTATAGCAATGAGCACACACAGTGCCCATAGATGGGTTTCTAAATACCATTGTCCTCTTAAAGGAACGAGAGCTCCTTGTAAAAACGCTGGTAGCGGGACTGTGAGAAGAACATGATGAGCCTGGAGCATCTGTTTGCAGAAGAAACTAAGCAAGTCCTCAAATAATGATGAAGATATATTAAACCAACAAAGGATCCAGTTTGAAGGGACTTCAATTGGCTAACCCTCAAGCAATCTGAGCATCAAAATAATGATGGTAATGAATTATAACCCACTGAATAAAAATAAAAATCCAAAACCAAGGTGATTGTGAATAAATGAATGATTGAGTAGAAAAGGAAATTTTAGTAGAAGGCCAACTAATAAACACAAAAATTATGGAGTTAAAATGGATTATTTTGTGAGGAGGATATTTACATAGTGTTAAAGTTATCTTCCCACAAATTACCTTTACAAAGAGAAAACGGTAACTTTGCACTAGAGAAAGTTGGTAGGTATCAGCTCAAACAAATATTCAGCGTTAACATCAACAGGGAGACAAATCAACATCATGTTCTTCCTGAGCTGATGTGCTGAGATGCACAGCATCACTTGGGTGATTCCTGCCAGAATTTAATCATGACCGAACGTCAGACACTCCTAATTACAGACAGGTATTCTATGAAGTAGCTGACAGGTACACTTCAAAAATGCCATGGTCAAGAAAGGAGAAAAAGAGATCCAAGAGATCATTACAGATGAAAGAAAAGACAAGACATGATAAGGAAATGTTATACATGATCCTGAATCCTGGACAAGGAAAAAAAAAGATATAAAGGACACTGGCACAACTGCTGGAATTTAAACATGAATTGTAAATGAGATAATAGTATTTTATGGTGTTAAATGTTAACTTTTTTTCCTATGGCCATGTAAGAGAATATACTGTTCTCAGAAAATACACAGGATATATTTAGAAGGGTGTGATGTCTCCTTCTCTGAAATGATTAAGAAAAAAGTTGGTGAAACAGAGGGATAGTAATAAAGCAAATAGGATAAAATATAAACAATCAATTAATGAATCAGGTAAACAGTCTATGGGTCTTCCATGTATTATTTTTTCAATTTTTCTTTAAGATTGGAATTATATGAAAATTTTACCAAAAATCCTAAAAACCACCAAAAAGTATGCACATGGCCAATGTTTATATATGCTACATCAATTCCCAAACTTATGATAATGGATTTTCTGAAAGAAGATTCTATTGCCTAATAAACTTACTAAAGTCCCTTCCTCAAGTGCCACAGTCACTTTTATAAAGAAGCCTATTGAAGTTAATCCAACATTTCAACATTAATCTGTTCAGACAACCTGGTTTAAGTGGGAAATGTCTTAAAATTTTACAAAAATATCAGTATTGTGTTGAAAACAGTTGGAAAAACACTTTGTCTAGTAAATCCAGGTCCTACCCATGATTAATTGAGGAAAGATTTGTAGTAGAAAAATAAGACAGAGAAAGACAACTACAAACACACACACATAGGAGTAGGGTGAACTTCAAATAGAGAAAAAAGCCATAAATCTAAAAAAACAATATCTATCTAAATTGTCCCATCCAGACCCATTTAGTCCATTGTTTACAAGATATATTTTTAAAAAGGCTAGATATTTGTTAATCTAATTTTAGTTTATTTAACCATTAAATTGAGCATGTCATGCTTCCTCTCACTTTAAACCAGATTCTTCACATTAACTGCATAGCAGTAAAGCTTCCAGTGCCTCAGGGAGAACTTGCTGAGGGGCAGGCACTGTGCAAGACCCAAAAGAACCCAAAGATGAAGCAGATGCAGTTCCTGCCACCCATAAGCCAGTCGAATGAGGGAAATGAAGCAGTGAACTGTGACGTTCCAGGATAAGCATTGGGCTTTATGGGAACACAAAACAGCACCAAGCTCAGGCAGAGGGAGATCAAGGAAAGTTCCTTTCAGGAAATGATATTTAAACCAAAATAAGTTAATATATGCCAATGTTTTTGAAAAATATTTTCAAAAGGTTTTTTTTCTTTAAACTATTCTAGCCATCACACTAGGTTCTATCCTACATGGAATCACTGTAAAGTTAAAAAAAAGGAAGGAAGGAAGAAAAAAGAAAATGAAAATACACCCAATAGCTCTTAAAACTAGGCAGAATCCAAAATCTAAGAAGGACCAACACTGAGTTTGCTGCAAACCACCATCTTAGGATATTTTCTAAAGCACTCTAGACTTACTCAGGTATTCCAGTGTAAGAGTAAAACAATTGGAAGAGGAAAAAGAAAAAAGAAAAAAAAAAGAAGAAACTGAAAAAATCAGAAATAGAACAGTATGAGAAGACAAGTGATCAGTATTTGTTTACCTGTCAACTGACACTGATTGATCTTGTGTTCTGTGATATCGCTCAGTGATTCGAACACCTGGAGGCAGCTCTCGCAGCTGTGCACAGCTTCGTCTTCCAGCTCCTCTCCATCTTCCAGCCTCTTCTTACAGTCTATTGCCTCTCCATCTTCAGTTTTGTCTTCAAGTTTACAGTTGGGGTCTGAAAGATAATCAAGACTGTAAGTATGGGGTTTAAAGACAAGTTCTTTTAAAGAACATTTAATCTTCCTGCTCCCAAAAACAGAAACACCATTTTCCTAGAAGCTGCAATAGGAGGGATTCACTGCAGCTTTTACTACAGAGCCAAATGTGGGTCTTCCCTAAAATTTTTCAGTTCATGAGGATTGAAGTTACTCCTTTTCTCCTCCACCACGCAGCCGTTTGCCGATTCATGTATCCACCTTTAAGGTGAACTCTTGTCATTTTTTCATTACTTTTTAGGGGTTTTTGCTTAAAAGAGAGAGATAAATCATTTTTAAAATTAAACAGTCTCTGATGCAGAAGAAAAAACCATGGTGCTTAAGAATGATTTGCCTTTCTGCTCAATATACTCCTTCCTTTACAGGAAATTACCAGAATTAGCCAAAAGCCTATAGTAAGCTACGCTAATTACTAACATAGGCACGAAATTGACCTTTACTTATAAACTGGTCAAAACACGCAGTTACCCCATTATTTGTCAGAAAGCGATAGCAAAATAAGCTCTACCACACAGTAAAACATTCATACAAACACAAACTCAAGGGTAAATACATTGTTATGTGCCTTGTTTTAAAAATTCATCAAAAATTAAAACAAAATATACAAAGAGCAATTATAGTAAGCAGCTTGAATTGGCATTATCAATATCAACAAGTGGGAAAACTAAAAGTAGTTCCATTCTAATCCTAAGAATGATATTTACACAGCAAGGGGAGATAAGAGCAAAAGACACATGGCAGTATCTTTACTCAGAGCTCAATAAAAATACTTTTTGGCTTTTTTATGCTGTCCTGTGACTCATTTTAGAAAAGTACCCCTAAGCATCATTGTGCCACTGCTTTCTTTGCAGGAAAGCAAAGGTTAGGAGGAGACAGAAAAATATGCCTCTTTTGGGGAAATTAAGATAATATAACCTTGTGACTGAATTTAGGGGACATTCATTTCTAATAGCAAAAAGTTCTCCAAAGTCAGAAAACGATCCTGTCAAAATAGATTAGTCAATAAAATAATTACAGAAGAATTGAATCAAGATACCTAAGCAATATGCAATGCTTTATCTGCAATTTTTTTAACATGGTGGGGGGGAAATATTTGAAATGTTACGATCAAGAATCCAACAGAATCAAAATTAGCCCAGATTTCTTAGAAATGTCATTGAGTGTCACCGCACCACCATCCTGCTGTCCAAAAGCCTTCTGGCACTTCGCATGTTCCAAGCTGCTCCAAGCCCTGCTTCCACAAGTAACTCTCCTCCCTTTTGGCTGGCAATTGTTCCAAAGCCTTTCTTCGTGTCTGCAATAAACTTAACTGCACACCACCCTTCAAATGATTCGCATATGCCAAAATCAACTTACATTTCAACGTATACAATAATCTCTTGGGTTCATGAAAAAAGCAGAATTCCCATCTCAAAGTGTGAGTCATTTTGTTCGTGTTTTTTTAAAAAAAGAAGGTAGTTTTTAAGTCAACTGGTAATTTGGGTTGATTTGCCATCTGGAAAATTTTTATCTCAACACTCTACCCAGTGCCCATTTCAATATACTGGAGTTTAGATTGCTCACTCCTAGGGGAGTCATCACAAGATCTCTCTCGTTTGTCCTGTACTTTGCCCAGCACAGCACTGTGTCCAGGTAAGCGTTTAGTACATATTATTTAGTGACAATAAGAGGGAGAGGAAAGAGAAAAACAGCGTATGTAAAAAAGCCCTTTACCGGGATTTTTCTGTAAATGGGAACAGAGCAGGTACCTTCAAATTGAAAAGCACCCACATGCCTGCATTTCCCAAAGCTGACAGTGTAGTAGTGATCCACCACATTGGACTTCGCTGGTTCCAAATGTTTCATCTAGAGCCACACATGCAACAAATGAGTAGTAGTTCAAAGACCTTCAACAAACTGAAACCAAGTGGTAAAATACTGCCAAATTAGAGAGCAATTCAGGAAAATAAATCACTGTCCCAATTATGGCAAACTGGCCCTCACACTTGTTGGAAGGCAGCATGCACACACGGAATACTCTTAGTTGTTTAGCACGAGTTTCCAGCTGCTCATAAAACTGATAGCACTCAGGGAAATGTGGTGCAAAGTCTGAATTTTAATACGATTATTTATATGCATCAAGTCTGCAGAACTGTTTGTTTTTAAATAAGAAGACAGATATGCAGAGAAAAATGACAAAAACTTGCTTTCCTTATTATTTAAGAATATAGACACTTTACACAAGTCCAGTGTCAAAAATATCAAACAGGAGTGCATGCCTGATGCTTAAGCTCTTAAAAGCTAAAGAATGACTCCAGTCCATGCTTCTGACCCTGTGGCTAGTTATTAAAATGAGGGTCATTTTAAGACTAATAAAAAGTGTTTTTGCTTCCACTTCTGCATTTACAGAGAGAATCCTTCAGGGACTGCAGTCAGTCAGGCTTACTCACTTCTGCTGCAACTTTAGACTGCGATCTCCAGCCAACTGGCGAATTTGTTTTTAGGTCACCACTTAAGAGGGGCCCTCTGGGAGGTGGGCGCCATTATAGCTATGATGTCTTGGAGTAATGAGGGTTGAACTCTCAGTCTCTCTCCTTGTAAGTAGATTTTTTTTCCAGCCTCCACTTTCATGAGGAATTATTTCTCACCCATTCAAAAGACGCGCGTGTGTGTGTGTGTGTGTGTGTGTGTGTGTGTAGAGCTTCCCATTCCTGATTGTCAGGTGATGGAGGAAGATTCTAGAAAGCTTACATTGTCAACCACTTCTTTCCCACAGGTGGCTACACTTCAGTAATTGCACATAGCCTTAGTTATGTAGTTTTTATGCAGTCCTTGGAGATCCAATCATAAAAAATAATTGTATTACTCTGCTAGCCACTCAAATCTGACTTCAACCTAAGGGATTATAAATGTAAGGTCCATGCCTGTAGGTACTGCCCTGCTCCCAACACCACTTCAAGAAGGACAATTGTTCTTCCAGCTCTCTTCTTGTGCTCTAAAGTCACCCAAGGGGCAATATTTTAAATATCCACATGCCCCCTGCACTGCAACTACAAACCCAGTTCACAGCTACCAGAACGGCTACACCGCAGCCGTCACACACCATCTCACCTGCACAGCCAACTTCCTGGCTCACCCTTTCTGCTGTAAGGCACAGGATGTATAGGGTTCTGACCAGGATAAAAGGCTTAATTTTGGAACAAAGACACAATGATTATTACAAAGATAAATGGCAGCTTTCTGTTTCCAATTTTGTTCGCATTACTTTTAAGTGGAAATGTAAAAGAAATATTCTTTTCCCCTTATTAGGTTCTCTGCAGGTGGTTCTTCCCTTCTCATCCTCCTCTTCCTAAGGGTTGTTATTGCTATAACTTGGTTTAATAAAATTTCAACTTTGGGTAAAATGAAAAATTGCACTGGCTTAAAAGTGTTGGAGGCAATAAACCCATGGACTTCAATTAATTTCAAGTGTGGGATCAGTTTAAGGCCAACCAGCAGAAATTCTATTCTGTCCATGTAAAAATGAGGTTTCACCACATTTACTTTTTATAACCTATATAAAAGTCAAGTAAAAGTAATGAATATCTAAAAGCCATCTCAGTGGACTGGCAAAGACTATCTGTATTCTTGAAACTCATCTTACATATTTCTCTCTCTGCAACAAGGATCCCATGTCTGATCAAAGCTAAAATGTCAAACCACTGAGAAAACAGCCCAACTTTCAATCCATTTCACTGCCTAGAAGTGGACCTCCTTCCAAGCCACTTTTTGCATGGAAAAGCACTGGCCAAATCATGTGGTTATAACTATTACCAGGCAAGGAATATTTCTGAAGCTCAGTGGTAAAGTAAAACTCTATCGCTCTCTGCTCCCAATGGTGTCCATCACAAAACAACTGCCTCATTAAGTCTCTGCAGTAAGATTAATATGCCGTAGCTGCACTACATTCATAACTTGGTACTCTATAAAAAGCACATTTACTGGTAAGAGCCAGAGCCTAGATACAAAGTATTACTATAAAAACTTCTGGCAGCAAGTACACAGTGCAGGCCCTCTGTCCTTCTTGTTGGAGACAGAAATAAGACTTTTCCTGGTTAATTCCAAGCATGAAGCCCTACCTTACAGACCTGAGTCAGTTTTTACGAGTCACAGAGACACAAGATTCAGAGGATGATGTAAACATGAATGCAAGATGATTACTGCACAACTAAGACTGGCAAGAGATGAATGAACCCAAAATACTCTGCTCATACACAAATGCGAACTTAAAACGGGACAATTTCCTAATGGTTCATTCTCCAGTCAGAGCCAGCTTTTCACCAGATCAGACAACCTTGCCATGAACTATTCAATCTTAAGTCACCCCACACAGCACAGGGAAGTGAAAGAAACTACCAGCTGAAGAATGCACACTACCTAAAACAACAAAAAAACCACAAAAAAACAACTATTGGCTTCATGGTGATGACCGTGACCTCCTGGGTCTTAATTACCTAAAACTGTAAAAAAACAAATATTCAAGAAAGAGTGGGCCCAACCCTGTATTAGTGGAGACCAGTAAACATACAATGTTTCTGTTACTTTACAAAGTCACTTAAGTTCGTTCTTCCAAGGATATCTTCTGAAAATAAAAAGAGCAGTAACCCAGTCACCTTATTTTCAGGAACTCTATGATGAATAAGTAAATAAATCATTTATACAAAGGCATCCCACCCTCAAGTCGTCCCAGATCATCACAAATGATGACCCTCAGGTCAACAGCCATCTTGCGCCAAATAGTAATTTAGTCCCTAATGTCGCTCACATGTGTACACATCATCAGCCTTCTAGGGTTTCCCAGCACATTAAGAAATCCTGTGTCTAAAAGGAAAACCGGATATAATCTGTTTAAAGCATCTGTGTCTAAAGGCACTCCTACCCTACAAGTGAGTTCAAGTCACGTTCACTAATGTATCTCGGCACTTTTTTGAGAACAGAGGAA